ATTCCTGCAGAATCAAGTCGCTACTCCTAAAGGCAGAGCTTTCACAGCTTTTATAGCTGCTGACGAAGAACTTGAAAATGAGATGCCTCTTCTCAGTAAGTATGCCCCTAGAGCACATCTGATAAGCCTCTACATGTTGCAACCAAACCAAACATCCACTCTTACAGAGAAGTGTTGCCCTGGAGAAAAAGAAATACGCAGAGATAGGCTCTCAGTCTTCCTTCGCTGCAGTGCTGAGAGTGGCAAGAAATTAGAATCACTTACATGCAAATTCAGAAATTCTCTTTATATACACAATTTTGCTGTGTGTATAAAGTTCAAAAAAACAAACACACCAAACACTGATGTCTGGCAGATTGTGTGGGGAATGGCTCCTACAAGTAGAGAGAAAAACCCCTGCCAGAATGTGAACATTGTGTTACTGGTTGGTAAACATGCTACACACACTCACTGGGATTTAGAACAAGTGAGTGGCCTTTTTTTTTCTTGGCCAGCCAGCAGCATGGCCATGTGTAGCCATTAGCTGAGGCATAAAATAAGTTACCAGAACTGTGTGCCGGGAGTACTTGGTACATTACATGCAGCATTATGTGGCGTATTCTTGATGTGATGAGACATCTCATTGCTGTGTGGGACACGGGTGCCCCAGAAGTCATCCACATTTGCTTTGGAATCAGTGGTGGCTCAGATGAACAGAGCAGGTGCTGACTTGATTAGAAATGAGCTGCAAACAACAACAAACTGCCCATATGCAAATGTTGATGGCTTTGTAGATACCGATGATGTTAGCTCCCTCGGTTCATGATGAATTTCAAATAAGAACAGGGACCCTTGATACAGGCCTGTGAGCACAAAAGAGCAGGGGAAAAAGTGGCCCGAGTTCAAGCGTTTCAGGAGAAAAGCATAAACGGCTATTAGTGATCAATGGTAAGCTGCAATCATGGGAATGATTTTGTTTCCAAAGCAACCGAGTCACTAAATTTGTTAACTGCAATAGAACACGTCAGGATTTAATTTAAATTTCTGTAAAGCAGGGAGTAAAACCAGGGTCTTTCAGACGTGACTAGAGTTCTGTGTGATATATGTGCCTTACTTAATTCAGCAGACCTTTCTGGAGCACCTCTGAGAAATCTGTAATTCAGCCTGTCTTACTAGCTTTGTAATCTTTGGCAAGGCCAGTGGATTCTTTATCTGTATATTTAGACTGAATCAGGTGAGTTTTAAACAGTCACTTCAGGCTTCGTAACTTGCAGGAGCTGAAATGGTCATTGAAACCTGTATAAACTCAAAAGTGTCTAAAACATGAATTACAAGAAAGAGGCTTCATTCTTCAGTAACTTGCTGTTACCGCACTTCTGAGTTTGAAAATTGTAAAGTCAACTGTGTAAATGATTATGCATATCCTTTACACATTCAGAATCATTTTCTTAGAAAGCCATCAACATTTTTATGACTGTATATATTAATTTATTATCAGAATAAATGTATTGGCGTGCTCAATAAAGTCATATTTCAAATCTATTTGTTTTCATGTGGGTATTCTTCCACTAAATACCAACATTTTGTAGTTGAAGTAATGTTATATGAGGTGGGAATTTTTAACCTGCTTTGGGGCATTGTAAGTAGGTTTCTGCTATGAACAGTGGAAGTTTTTCAATAGGAAAGAAATTGCCAGTGTTTCTACAGTCTCGTCACATGGGTTTGGGCTCTGGAATTTTACTGTTATTCGAAAAAAATAGACAGTTTTGAACCAAGGCAAAGGTGACATTGTTAGGTGAGTAATTCAGTTTATTGCTGGGGGAAAAAAGCTTATTTAAGCCTGATGATAATTCTTGCAATGGTTTCAAAGCCTAGCCCTGGTCCATTTGAATCTCAGTTTCTCCACTGTAATCTTCGACAAGTTACTTAAGTCTTTTTGTATTTCTATGTCCTGGTCTGTGAAATACAGACCATATTGGTTCCTCTTTCCTAGGGTTGCTCTGTGGACTCATTCATTTAGCAAGTGTTTGCAGAGTGCCTGTTGTCTGCTAGGCACGAGATGAAGACAAGCAGGGTTTCTGTCGTCATGGAGCTTACTGCGACTGGAAGAGGAAATACCAGGTAAGATTACAGGCTGGTTAGGGCCTGGAAGGAAACAAACCAAGTGATGTATTGGTAACTGCAGCAGGTGCCTTTGTAAAGGATAGACAGAAGGTGTTTCCGGCTGGCGCTTTTTCTGAGACCTGAAGGATGAGAATGACAGCTTTGTGAAAATAATTAAATGAGGTAATGACTATAAGAAACAGCATAATGCCTGTCATATGTGCAGAAAAAGATCGTTATAATTTCAAAAGGAACTCAACATTGCTTTGAGCACTGACAGCATTCTTATAATAAGTATGAGAAGTGTGAAGAATTGAACAGCCGCCACACCTTACTTAGTATTTGGGGGGGAGGGCAGTACTTGGGGGGGGCGGTTAATAAGACCTCTAGATCAGCAGCTGCCAACCTTTCGGACCACCACTGCTGCTTGTCCGACCACCACTGCTCCAAAGGTTTCCTTAAACCAGTGTTCACCAACCTGTTGAGCCTCATGGACCACCGGTTGGTGACTGCTGCTCTAGGTGATTCTGATGCAGCTGTAGTTTGATGCACTGGCCTAGAACTGGTTTTCAAACTTGGCAACACATTGGAATTACCTGGGGTGCTTTAAAATGCTAGCTACCCCAGAGAGTCTGATTTAATTGGCCTGGGTGCTGCGTGGGCATCAGGACTTTAAAAGAATCTCCCTGGTGATTCTAATGTGCAGTCAAAGCTGAGAACCACTAGGCTAAAAAAGCAGAAAATTCATAATCCCAAAGTAAAAAGACTCAATTTTCTTAAAGTGGTCACACCTGCTTTGCATGGGGAACAGTGTGTGAGCTCAGTGGGCCGCACACTTTGTGTTCAGTCATGCAGTCGGCCTTTAAGTGACCAGAGAACTGGGCTAATGAACACAGTGGGGGAGCCCCAATATGGGCAGCCTCTGGGCTACGCCCCCTATTGAAACAGGCAATCACACTAACAACACACACTGGCTGTTAATTACACACCTTACAAAAGTGACAGCTTCTGCAGGTGTAAGTAATTAGGGTTTTTTTAACTCCATTCGAGGATGCCTGCCATTCCCTACTTCCCATAGAACAAATTACTCATGATTACGTATTTGACTGGGAAACCATTTTCCAAATTCTTTTCTTGTTAAGGGTTTAAAACAAAGGACATGAAAAAGAAATCAGAGTTAAAAATACTATTTCCAGCTCACAGAATGCATACAATGGGGGGTAGGGGGTAAGGAGGCAGCAGAATCTCCCACCACCGTTGGGTTTTTTTTACAAATTTTTGTTTTTGTTTTTTTAATATATTTTATTGATTTTTTACAGAGGGGAAGGGAGAGGGATAGTTAGAAACATCGACGAGAGAGAAACATCAATCAGCTGCCTCCTACACTCCCTACTGGGGATGTGCCCGCAACCAAGGTACATGCCCTTGACCAGAATCGAACCTGGGACCCTTCAGTCTACAGGCCGATGCTCTATTCACTGAGCCAAACCAGTTACGGCCCACCTTTCTTTATGGACTTGCAGAAGAGCCCTAGAACTCAGGGGAAAAAACACACAATTCCTAATAGAATTCAGTATTAATATTGGTCTAATTCTAGGAAAGCATGTTAGCATTTTTCTTTTTTTTTTCTTTTTTTTTTAAATATATTTTATTGATTTTTTACAGAGAGGAAGGGAGAGAGATAGAGAGTCAGAAACATCGATGAGAGAGAAACATCGACCAGCTGCCTCCTGCACATCTCCTACTGGGGATGTGCCCGCAACCCAGGTACATGCCCTTGACCGGAATCGAACCCGGGACCCCTCAGTCCGCAGGCCGACGCTCTATCCACTGAGCCAAACCGGTTTTGGCAGCATTTTTCTTTTTTAAAAAATATATTTTTATTGATTTCAGAGAGGAAGGGAGAGAGAGAAACATCAGTGATGAAAGAGAATCATTAATCGGCTGCCTCCGGCATACCGCACACAGGATGAAGCCCACAACCTGGGCATGTGCCCTGACCGGGAATTGAACTGTGACCTGGTTTATGGGTTGATGCTCAACCACTGAGCCACACCAGCTGGGTGCGTGTTCGCATTTTTCAAAAGAAAAATGATCACCCCTAAAATTAGGGAAGAAAAGTCACTAACCAGCCTTCCCCAAGCGCTGGTGCTGGGGGAACAAGTTTGAGCTGGCAGGGACAGCTGAGTGAGACACATCCAGCTGCTGGAGGGGAAGCCAGGGAGGGGCTAGGAAGAAGTCTGGGGAGGTCATTGCTTCTGTATTGCTATTACCTCTGAGCTCACAGCCAAGCATTTGGTGATGAGCGGGAGTTGCTGTTGGTCAGTAGGACTGGCAGACAGGACGGAGAGCTGACTTGCAGCAGGAAAGAGGACAAGGTATCCACCCGCACCAGCTGTCTTACCACCTCTGACCTCAGTGATCTTCAGAGTCTCAGCTGCTGCTTCCCTTCTGCTTTCCAAATTTTGCACAAATCTCTCTTTTTGAGCCGACTGCAACCCAGAACCATGTAGGAAGAGAATGCTGGGAAACATTGTTCCAGCTTAGCCACATTAATGCAGCACAAAAATACCAGAGTTATTGATAGTGAAACACCTCCAAACCCACCTGAG